CTCTCGGTGGCCAGGCCTATATATATATATATATATATATATATATATATATATATATATTATAGAATTTCATTATAGACTCTGTAAGGTACAGCGTTTTTCCTCTTTCAATTATTACTTCAACCTCTTCTTTATGTCAGAGGGATTTTTTTGTCATACAATCACCATCGAGGAGTGTTTTCAACCTGTTGCTTGTCTATCTCTCTGTTTCTACAGTGTGGAGAAATGTCGTTCATTCTATGCCAAATGATGAAAGACTTCTAAGAAAATAAAACTTGGTAGATTCAATTGTAAATTGTCATATATAGTTTGGTGACACAAGATAAGAGCATGAAAAAAACCGATTGATTGCTTAGAAGTTTTACGTTACGATTTCATCGACTTAGACATAAGAACTAACTCCACTAAGAATTTTTACTCTAACCACCGACTACAATGCGATAAATACAAACACAACAACAACACTACCCGAACGCGAAAATGAAACAAAGAAGACAGATGATCGCTGGTAGAGAGAGAGAGCCTTTACTGTCTCAACAACAGAAAACCTTTTCTCGATAGCCTTGTCTAACGATTAAGTTAAACATTTCATGCATTCCTATTGCAGAAGATTGGATAATGGGACAGACAACGGGCAATCAGGAAACAGGCATAAAATGGACTCACACAAATAGAACTTGGAGGATCTAGACTTCACCGATGATATATGTCTGATTTCCCACAAACTGGAAGATATCCAAGTGAAAAGCAACAAGCTGACAGAAGAACCATCCAGAGAAGACAGGCCTTCAAGTGAACATCGAGAAAACAGAGGTGATGAAGATTCCTGGCCAACACCAACAACACCAGACAACAATCAGCCAGCATAAATGGGAGGAACCTGAAAGAAACAACCTCCTTTACCTACCCACCTACCAAGAAAGCATCGTTTCAAGTACAGGCGGAACTGACGAGGATATCAAAGAAAGAATCGGAAAAGCAAGGGAAGCTTTCATTACCCTCAAGTCTGTGTGGAGGAGGTCAACAACCCTCCCTACTCGGCATGAAAAATGAGATCGAGATTTTCAACTTCAATATGAAGTCAGTCAGTGCTACTCACTATACGGATCAGAGACTTGGCGCCGCGTCATGAAGAGCACCTCAAACAAACTACACACCTTCATCAACAGCTGACTTCGCTAAGTACCCTGCTCATGATCAGATGGCCGACTAGAAAGGATGAGCAACGGGGATCTCTGGCAATGAGCGAACCAATCAGGAACAGGATTGTGAAACAAATAAGCAGGAAGAAATGGAGATGGATTGGATCGGTCTTACTCTGAGAAAACCATCAAGTGACATCACTAGACAAACCCTCGAGTGGAACCTGGAAGGGAAGCGGCAAGTTGGTCGTCAGTGAGAGGGTGACGTGGAGGAGGCCATGTGAAGAGGAGATGAAAGCATGTGGGCAGACTTGGAGCGGCGTGAAAACTCTAACAGAGAACCAAACGCAATGGAGACTTGGGTGGCTGAAGCCCTATGTTCCTCTAGGAATTAAAGGAAATAATAATAATATATTGCTTCACAGGTAAGTGAAGCAGTCGTCATCGAACGATTGAGGACAGATCTATGCACGAAGAAGACAGTGGTCAGACACCCATATTACCTTGATGATTAATATTTAACTAAATAAAGTTATACAATCTTATTGCGCCAACTGGTCTTCATCAGAGAATCCCTCACCTTAGTCTTCCTGCTACTCCGCTTATACAATTTGTTATACTAACCTTATTCTAGTCAAACCTTGTTTTTATCTTGCCCTCTTTTCACGTCCTTGAAGATATTCATTTAATCATCTCACAAATTGTTAATTCTTTTATTTAACACAATAATTTAACTACTCACATTATTCTCGGTGCATATTGCTTAAAAATTCTATTAATAACTCGTGAACGTGATAAAAACCTTTTTGTATAGTTTTTTTCAATACATTTTGGTATGATTTAGATGTTTAGCAGGGGAAGAGAATCCACGGAATAATAATATTATTAAGACAAAATTAGTGGGTTTATACTATCCTGGTATAATTTTGCTTTTGATTAAATCACTGATAAATTTAAAGAATTAATCGGCGATGAGGAAATAATATGTGGGAAAAGCGACAGTGGTAATAGCTGGGTTGACAACGACAACTTTATATATTTGCATGAGAAGTATTTTAATGTTATAGGCAAAAAATAGGTACTTGCAGCAAAGTGTACCCTTTCAACTACAGGCGGTAGAACGGGTGAGGATGTGAAAGCCAGAAACAGAAAGACTAGACAAACATTCATCACTTTAAATGCATGGAAATCTACTGTACTCAGCATACGGAATAAGATCCGATTTCTCCATACTAACCTCAGGTGATTGCTTACATAGGGGTACAGAGACTTTGCACCCATGTCACAGAAAGCATTTCCAACCGGCTGCTGTAGACTTTCATCAACAACTGCCTTCACTGTCTCAATACTGCAGATAAGACATTCAAAAATAATAGGCAACAAGAAACCCTCCCTGGTAGAACATCGAACCAGCCAAGAATCCATCGCCAAACAAATATGCAGTAGGAAATGAAGATGGATTGGATATAGGCTGAGAAGACCTCCAAGTGACATCATGCGTTAGACCCCCTAGTGGGGCCCCGAATGGGTAACAACGAGTTAGGCGTCCATCCAATGGCGACATGGAGATCGTGGAGTGAACTGGAAGATACAGCACACAACCGAGTGAAATGGAAATGTGCCACTGACGTCTTGTGTTACACACGGAACCTAGGGGAATAATAACAACGATAATGGTAGAGAAACATTCGGGGAAAGCCTGTCGTCTATATTAGACCTGTTATTTGGCATCTGCACAAACAACAACTAGAATAGCTGTCTCAGTACAAACGTTGTTTCAGTAACCTTCATAATGTTCAAAATTTGCGACTTATGAACCCATCGGAAATAAAGAAAAGTGGCTGTCGAGTCTATATTAAGGGGCTCAGTAGAATGGTTTAATCGGTTAAAATAACAAATTCCAACAAAAAGCTTTTTAACCATTGACAATTCAAGATGTATGTAAAAAATTATATTTATAATTTTTATAAATGTCTACTTCTCAAACGGCGCCCAATTATTTTGGAACTATTCGGTCAAATCTTGATCCCAGTTCATATGAATTCAAGATATAGCTTAAGTGTACTCAGTCATAGAGCTGTCTTGACAGAACTCACCATCAGTAATGACTTCACATTAATGTTTCGAGAAGGCCTTCGACAGAGAGCGTTGACCACGAAGTAATTTGAAAATTACTTGAGTACTACGGCGTACCCCAAATATTCATCAACCTTATTCAACAGCTGTACGACAACGGAACATGTCAAGTCATCCACAACGGAAAACTCATCGAGGCGTTTACAGTAAACACAGGAGTTAGACAAGAGTGCTTATTATCACCAATGATATTCCTAACTGTGGTGGGCTGACTGGATTATGCGTCAGACAGTGGAAAATTAGCAGACAGGGATATCCTGGACCGACCGACGTGAAGAACCTAGAAGACCTTGATTTCGCGCGTGGATGATTAATGTTTGATGTCACACACAAAATCGAAGACTTACAAGCGAAAACCGACAAACTGGTTGAAGAAGCAGCCGGCGGAGACAGGACTTCAGGTAAACATAGACAAGACGGAGGTTATGAAAATAACCAACCAACAACAGCAACAGGATTCAACGCCAATCACCATCAACGGGAGGGATTTGAAAGAGGTTACTTCATTCACTTATCTAAGGAGCATTGTCTCAACTGCAGGAGGAGCGGACGAGGATGTCAAATCGAGCGAGAATCGGGAAGGCGAGAAACACATTCATCAACCTGAAACCAATCTGGAAATCTTTGTCACTCAGCCAACATCAACAACAAAATTCGGATTTTCAATACAAACTTCAAGTCAGTCAGTTCTTCTATACGGATCAGAAACTTGGCGGGCGGGTCACAAAGAATATTTCCAAAAGGCTGCAGACCTTTATTAACAACTGTCTTCGCTCTATGCTGAAGATCAGATGGCCGGAAAGAATTACCAACAAGGAATTATGGGAACAAACAAAGCAAGAACCAATCGCCCAACAAATATGCAGGAGAATGTGGAGATGGATTGGACACTCGTTGAGCAGGCCGCTGAGTGACATCGCACGCGCGTCAGGCCATTGCTCGAATGGAACCAGGCCGAAAGGGCAGCAGCGAGTGGGACATCAGTGCAAGGGTGACATGGAGGAGATCGTGTGGAGAAGAGTTGAAACAGTATGGACTAACATGGATGTAGGTGAAAAGCACAGCAGTAGATACAGGCAAGTGGAGACGTGCAGTTGAAGTCCTATGTTCCATTAGGAACCCAAGGGAATAATAAGAATATATAATAGAAAATGGATTGATACTCAAATCGGAGTAAACTAGAGGAAGAATGAATACTAAGAACAATGGATAGCTTGTCGATTATAACTCATAAGTATTTAATATCAATGTTTTATGAGGAACAATAACTGAGACGGTTAAAACACAAGGCAAGAGGCTGACCTATTATCTAGTCAGCGATAAATAAGTTTAACCATACTATTATTAGTGTAAACCACACGTACGGTGCCTTAGTGCATTTTTAATAATTATGCTACATATTTTTGAATTACCCAGTAACTAATTGGTTGACATGCTCGCACTGGCGCCTAAGCAGTGGGCATCATTTTGGGCTACTGGGTAGTATATCATCAGCTTCCACACAATAAATAAGTGTAGTACACAGCAGAGTAAATGAAAGCGCGCTTCATAGTCATACCGAACGACTTATAGCCCTGTTTCATCCAGAGTAATCCATGCACACCAGCGTGCTCTGACAAGTCTCACACTAAATGTTATTCCTTTTTACTTCATCTCGTATGAAAACTTTGTTTTTATAAACAGGCAAACAATAAAAATAAGAAGAACAACTGAAAGACTTACCAAATCTATGAAATGATGACATTTCAGAACAAATGTAATCGATGGATCATTCTCCCATAATGTTTTAAAGTGTGCTTGTAGCTGGTCTAATGCAGACAAATAATCTCCATTTCTAATTGTCTCGCGTAAATACCTGCGTCTTAATAAGATGTCCACAGCTTCAGGCCAACAGAACAAATCATTAAGAACAGTGTTGTTCGCTTGACTGGCATTTTTAGACGACGATGATGATGATGATAAAGATGATAAATCATGATGATTAACTGTTGACTGTGCTGACAATGACTTGATTGCTGCCGACTGTGAATACTGCTGTTCTGAGTGTTTTAAATAATGATCACCACCGTTTGTCTCTTCAACAATAGAACCACTACAATTACTATTATTATTAATATTAGTATTCATAGCATTATTATTACTGTTACAATCTGAATAACCATTAGCATTCAAAGAGTTTGTTAATGAATTCATTCGTTGGATAAATTTATTCGTCGATGTAGACAGACAACCATTTGGAGTATCAGGAGTTAATGACTTTGAAGATGACTTGCCATTACTATAACACATATTATTGTTGTTATTATCACTACTAATATCATTCTCAAAACTAAAAATACTGCCAGTTGTATTGCTTTGATCTGTTGAAGCTTTTGTAACCCATTCGCCCAATGCTTGAGCTGATTCAAGGAAACCATTATGTAATAAGTAGGTTGCAACTAAACTGTAAAAGCAAAGAACGCAGGTCAGGGAAATTAAACATGATCATATTTTAACTGATATTATAGAACCAAAAAAGCTTAACAATTTGTTGGCTTTTTTTGATGAAATATATTAGGTTTCAATAAATCTACCCTTGAGAAGTTGTTACACATACATACATAAACACACATTTCATGCAACAATAAAATGGAGTAGTGATTAAGATATATACACGATGAAAGAAGGAATTTTAACCCATTCATTATAAATGGAAATATGTTCATCACTAGGAAACCACATTGTCATGTACTGTTTCTGGTTCTGAGGATTGTATGTTGATATAGCCCTCATAGTTTCACTTACCCGTAGATAAATAGGTGTGTGCATCGGTAGTACAGAGGTAGAGTACTCACCAACCCCACACATGTGGTTCAGGGTTCGACCCCCGGCCAACGCACTCCCACACCTCGCAAAGCCAGTAAAACAAGATGCAAGGAGGAAAGGTTGATCATGAGGCTAGGAACTCCATCCCGTAAAAACTGACAGCACTGCTACCGAAACTGCAAAGCTGTAGCTTGAAGCCCTATGTTTCACTGGGAAGAAAACTAAATGCTCAGAGTAGTTATCACAGAGGTTTAAGGATAAGTTACGCTGAGGAATGGGAAGATTGTGTCTCCAGTATGGTATTTCTCCTTCATATCAGGTATTTCCACTTTGATGAGAAAGGTATTGCAATTATCAGTCCCGAAAATTGCACACTCCAAATGATCTTACAGTGGTGTATAGAAATGACAGAAACACTTTTTCCCCATAAAAACAGAAGTGAAAAAATTTGAACCTTTAAAAAGGTGGAGAATGAAACCACCTTCAAAACTGTAAACGAGTTTAGGCTTTCCTTTAGAATACTGAAGTATTAATTATTATCGTTTAGAGTAATCAATTAAGGGAGTAATATTCACGTCGCTGTGCAGCTGATTCCAAGCTTTGATTTCATTTAATCCCAATATTTTTCGAATTTAATTATTCTTCAGTTCACACTGAACCAGTTCACTTTGTTTTTATCACTCAGTAACTACACGTATAAACTTGAAATAACACAATAAGTGGTTTTATTTCCTACAGAACACACAGTACGGAAACTCATAGTTTGCTTTCAATGACCATGTCTCACCACCGTCATGTAAGACAAAGCAAACTAGTCAGGCAGGAGTGATTTTAAAAACTGATGACACTGGACATGTGTCGTGGACAACACTGTTCGTAATAATAATAATATGCTTTATTCCAAAACAGTACTTGTGATACAGAATGGAATTCTCAGCATTTCACTACAGCATTGCATCCAGTTAGTTCATTATAACAATAAATAAAATTCTACATAGATTATGGGTAGTCTCAGTTAATTTGGACAACAACATATTAGCATATTGGTAGCAAAGCCAAAAGTGAACAAAATGTTTATTGGCGTAAGCGGTAACAAAAAAGTCGAGATAAACAGAGTGTGAAAGAACGAAGAAGAAGGTTTTAAGTAGAGTTTATAAGGAAGAAAGAAACAAAGCAGCACATAAAGAAAAAAGGGAAAAGGAGAAGAGAAAAAGAAAACGTTGTACCTATAAATGATGAGTTGGAAAGACGAGATCCAGTTGTTCTACTGACTATTTAATAAGTTATAAGTTTCACGTCTAATGCTTCCTTTATCGCACGGAACACAAGCTAAGTAGGGTATGGTTGAGTTTTTGTACTTACTAGTGCGAGCATATAGTTTTCCATATAGGCTTCTGGTTTCGCCTGATGAAATACTACGGGAGAGTTGTGAATGAAGAGGGTGGTGTGAGTTAGATAGGATGGATTTAGCCCATTTTTCACATGAGTTCAAGTGTCTGTCGACCAAAATATTAACAAGCTGTTTAAGTGGCACGTTGCTTACCCTACTGACAACCTTTAACCTCCTACGTAATAAGATATAGTCTTTCTTCAATATCCCTGGAAAAACTAAGGGGAACAATAGAGAATAATAGGCAGGATGCAAGAGTTAACGAATTGTAGGCGTAAGGGTTGGGTTATTTCGGAATGTCTTAACTTCTTGATGTATATGGTAAGACGGAATATTTTCTTAGAAATCATCAAGATATGAGACGACCAGGAAAGATCAGCAGATAGAATGACGCCAAGATTTAATTTAATTTCCGACTTGGTCCCTATTTCAGTAGCCTTAAGTGATAGCCCCCTTTCTCATTCCAGTCATTTTAAAGTCGAAAACCATCACCACACCAGCTATCAACACTGACAAAGTCAAAAGCCAACTCCAAATTTTTAAAAAATAGAACAAACAAAACGAATGGTAGGTGTTGGACTCTATGAAGTATATTTATGTTTCGAAACTTTGAAAACCATCAATACTTAATCAAAACATACTTATCCAAGCCCGGAAAGTACAGTACTTTTTCTTTGAAATTTCTGTTCCCAGTGAGTTCATAACTCTCATAATGAAATGAGCTCAGTTACCTGGAACAAAATTCTTATGTACACGGCTCAAAAATCATACTTTTTGTATGCATGCTAGTGGATTATTACCCAGTTGGTCAAGAAAAAGCAAACGGAGCAATATTCAAACCAATGGGGCCAACCACCAACTAAACTATAAGTGCTAAAGTCAATAAATCACAACAACATCTCTAAAAATGTGAAATGGATAACCAATTGATAATAATTGTGACAATGAATGAATGCAATAAAATGCAACTATAAAAAGTCACTTTTTTTCATTACACTGGTGGTTAACAGTTCGACTGAAATGTGACCATAGTATGAAACCACTGGCATATTGCAATGCACATATATGTATAATTGCATAAGAGTATACAATCATGTACACAGATAGATAGAAACACAGACAATCTATTTGAATCACGTAAGTAATACACGAATATACATATATACATATACATAATAATTAACTCAGTTAATTTAAAGAAACACAAGTACAATCGACTTTTTATTAAGACATAATACCACCTAACGTGAGAAATAGAATAGTAATAAGAAGAAAACGGAGTAGTGTACTTTATATCAGTAAAAAGTATAAATTTCATTATAAGAGTTAGTCTGAAAAAGTTGAACGACAGAATCAATGGTGTAGATTTCTCACGTAAGCTACATGAGATGTGGATCAACTGAAACACCCCATTAAGGTAACTTGACAACCATAGACGATGGTAATTAAGAAGGCTGGGTTAAAAATAAAGTTAGTATCATTATTATTAGTTATTGCTGCCTTTGCGTTACTACTGGAATATAGGGTTTTAAGCTTCAGCTCTGAAGTCTCAGTAGGCGTGGTTTTGTCATTTCGCGGGATGAGTTGGCGCTAGCCTTACTCTCTACCGAGCTTACAACCGTCTAAGCGAAGTTTACGAATGTGGTGGCCAGCAATCGAACCCCAGACCATGTACGTGGTTGGAGAGCGCTCTACCACTGGATCAGCAACGCAATTAACAAGGGATCATCGTCAAAAACCACCGCACCAACCTATGGGTGTTTAACAGAGTTTGAGACACTGACTCACTGTCAGTGCATATCACTTCAAATCTTTTTCTTAATTTCTTATCATGAATAATCCATAATTGTTTATATCTTTCTATGCTTCATAATTTGATAGCCGACAGAAAAGTTAGATTGCTGGCACATTTCTTGACACGCTTCATTCGTCAATAACCAAGTCAGTATATCCCTCTGATAAACACAACAAACTGGCAGTTTGAACAGAACAAAATTGATTCAAATGGTTACAACAGGCTAAATGTAAAAAAACTGTTTCGTTCTATGTGCACATCAGTAAAAAAAATTGAAGCAGCATTGAATTCTATATTAAACGAAAGGATTAGTTGTATTGAAAAATCTCATCTATATCCTGAAACAAATATTTCATCTTTGCATAATTAGAACAACTAACCAATTCGATTTTTTTCTCATTTCTTGCATAGTGTGTATGCGTGCGTGGAACATAGGGTTTCAAGCTTTGAAGTTTCCCTGTGGCAGTCCCATTGCCCGGCATTCCCACTTTTCCTACCGCCCAAAACGGGGTTGAGGAGTGCGTCAGTCGGGAATTCAGCCTTGAACCCGAACATTCTACCAGTGAATTTAATTGCGCATTCCTTATCCATACTAAAATACCTATTATTATTATTTCCTTTAATTCCTGGAGGAACATAGGGATTCAGCCACCCAAGTCTCCATTGCGTTCGGTTCTCTGCCAACGTTTTCACGCCGCTCCAAGTCTGCCCACATGCTTTCATCTCCTCTTCACATAACCTCCTCCATGTCACCCTCGCACTGACGATCAACTCGCCGCTTCCCTTTCGGGTTCCACTCGAGCAATGGCTTGTCTGGTGTTGTCACTCGATGATTTCCTCAGAGTATCGCCAATCCATCTCCATTTCTTCCTGCTTATTTGTTTCACAATCGGTTCCTGCTGTGTTGGTTTGCTCATCACCAAATATCCCTGTTGGTGATCTTTTCTGACCGGCCATCTGATCTTGAGTAGTATTGATCGAGATGTTAGTGAGTAGTCCTCAAAATGGTTGTTCCCAATGTGACATCTAACACGGATATCCTGAAACCGCGTGCTGCGTTCAAGCTGGCTACCTACAATGTTCGGACGCTGATGCAAATCGGACAACAGGCAGGGTTGGCAAGAACTTTGGAAAGCCTCGCTATCGATGTCTGCTGCATTTCGGAGACCCGCATTCAAGATCCCAGTGAAGTGCTTCGACTATCCTCTCCATCTGGAAGTTCTAGTAGTATGTACCACCTGCGCTTATCCGGGGACCCTGTGGCGTCGGCATCCGGCGTAGCTGGTGTCGGTGTCGCACTGAGCGCTAGAGCCGAAGCTGCACTGCTCGACTGGATTCCCATTAACAGTCGTTTATGTGCTGTGAGGCTGGAAGGTTACACGAAAGTAAAGAGTAGTAGGCCAGATAGGCGGTGTCTATTTGTTGTCTCTGCCTATGCACCGACGGATTGCAG